GAACCAGGGTCATCGCTGTTAAAATAAGCTTCAGGCTACCTGGATATAGATTGGTTGAGAAGGTCTAGAGGGATGAACATGATGGCAATGAAAAACTAGAAACAACTCTATAAAAAGGTCTTAGAAGGTAATGAAGGAACTAAAGTTTCTAAGATTAAGATGGCATGAGAACAAGAGAGGACCAGTAGAACTGAGAATAGATGAACTGTTTCAAAAGCTGTGTGCTCTATGGTGTATGTGAGGCGTGTGTATCATGTGTAGTGTTGGAGTGTCTTCAGTATTGTTATGGAAAATAAGAAAACCATCACATTTATGGTGTCCCATTCACTGGCAGCAAGTATTTAGCCATTTTCAGCCGTTTTCTTTCACACGCACATATGTGTTCACACATGTACCTCCTCTGGAGAAAGGGGTTTTCTATTCAGTTGGAAGAAAGTCATACTAGGGGTTGGTGCTGTGTCTGTCCTGACTTTGGAGACAGGGTCTCTACTTGTCAGACCAAGTGTGTGTGTCTGTATGTGTAAATGAATGATATGGAGGAGGGGGTTTGTCTGAGATAAGGAGCTATTGGGTTACCTTCATGTTTTTTCTCACTCCGTAGGCGTTTACCCTCCACTGCCTGGCCTCCAATCTCTAGTCCTCCTGCTTTGATATCAGCATGAGTTCACCAGAAACCTGCTGAGGAAAAACAACAATAACAATCCTCTGCATGCACCCAGTAATTTGCTGAAACTGTGTGAAATTGAGTGGTTTTAAAAGTGTTTAGGTTTCAAAGATCACGCAGTTGCAGGAAGGGCGGTCTGCTGAAATTGAGAAATTACTTTGTAATTTGTGGAGGGGAGAAAAAATAAACAAAAGTCACATATTTTATTTTTCAGAAATTGCATTGGGCAATAAAAACAAACTGCCAGTTTTCAAGGAGAAAACCTCAAATTGCAATGAGGCTTTTGTTATATTTTTCTCCAACACTTTGTAGTGAGTAATCCTATTTTGTATGATCTTAAATTGTGTAATCCAAAATATTAAAATTTTAATTTTTTAAAATATATTTGAAACAGTATAAACTGATTCCGAAACTGAAACCAAAGAATCGGCAACTTCAGGTTATGTTTATTTCCTATTAGGTGTCCTCACATCACAATGTTAAAATTTGTGCTGGCTGTGACCTGAAATGAAGGTTTTCTTATCACAGTTTACATATACATTACATTGCCAATGGCAGTTTAGATTTGACTGGTTTCTGGTGTCTGTGAGTTGAAGCTTGTTTATTTATCCTAGTAAAACTTTGACAGTATTTGCAAAGGTGCAGTTTCAAATCGCTGGAGGTGGTGGTTCAGCTAATGTGTTGAGGAGCTCAGATGAGGGTCGGCCCTCCAGACAGGCTCAACACACTGCCTCTTGGTTCCCCGACTGAGCCAGACGTGTAATAGGACAGAGGTCAGATCTGGCTTTCCTGTGCCCTAACCCTCCATGGGTGCCCACTTACCCTCTGAGTAGGGGGTCCCCCTAACTTGTCACTCACACTGCCAGAAACAGCTTCTTTTTTCTTTGCCGCTGTTCTCGTCTCATCATCTCCAAGTCACTCTCACTGTCTCCCAACTACTCTTTGTCTGACTGTTCCACTTTCTTATTTTGTTTTTGGCCCCTTATCTCTTTGTTTCTGTTCCCTTTTCCTTTTTTGCAACCGTCATATTTGGTCAACAGCTGAGTTGACATGCCTACAGGGGAAGAGCCCCCCCTTCCTCTGGTCCTTCTGTCTTTCTCTCCTTCCCTATCCCTCCCTCTCTGTCCTGCACCCTGTTGTGGCATTGAAGGTATCAGTTTACCCGGCAGCAGCTGAGGCAGGCTTCATTTGTCCCAGGGCTTCCTTCTGAAAAGGCATTTTTTGCCTCTGGAGAATTGCTCATTGCCCACACTGACATTGCATGCTTAATTGCGCTACGTCCAAATTTGGCAGTCTTGTCCTTTAGTGGCAGTTTGAGTTGTTGATATGTTGAAATGTAGTCTTGGCCTGCAGGGCTAGGAATTCCTTTAGGTATGAGAGTCAACAGTGGAGAGAGACTGTTTCTAATGTGCTCAATAAAGTGATATATTAACACCTTAACATGTGAGCATGTATCATTAAAAACTAACCATATCTGAATAACATTTTTCTTTTTTAATTAGATTTTTTCTGTTTTAGATGCAACTTTTAAAGTTGAATGACGAGTTCACAAATGAAGTGTGAATAATGAGCAAGTTATTTAGATCTTATTATTTGCCAATCTCTGTTCTTTGGAACCTTGATGAAGTATTTATTATTCCTCCTCTTGTGTTTACCAATTCCCACCACTCACTGATGGGGGAAAAAGTGCTTGCATAGTGCAGCTCTACCGCAAAGACCCTTACTGAAGTAAAGTGCAAATATTTCTGCCAGAACCTCTCTCGTCTCTTTTGGCAATTGCATGATTACTTTACCGCACTGGGGATTCTTGTTTCTCTGTAAATGTGTCCACAACTCAAATTATGCAAAGTATGTTTAAAACCTAATCTTCGTTACTTAACCACACAGAGAGAAAGGGATTCATTATAATGAAATATTGTCAGAACCAGGGAATGTGTGTTTATTTCACAGGGTATATAATATGTACAGCATGTGTCTTGCCTGAAAGGTGTGGCTGATGGTTTTCCTTTGCTCATTTGAGTTTGTGTGAATGAAGTGTGTGTTCATAAAGTAAACAAATATATTTGGTTTTGAGACCTTCATTGTTTACATTAGTCAGTAAAGGAGTGACTCCTGTGACACTCTGCTACACTGATCTGATATTTAAATGCTAAACATATGTGATCGCCTGTTTCTTTGTCTGCATTGTCTGACCAACTTACCGCCCAGGCTGCAGTAATCTCTAATCAATGCCATACTGAGGGTTAACACACTCCGACTCTCAACTTGCCCTCACTTGTCTACTTTAGAGTGGTTCTGTTTGGGTTCCTTTCTTTTTCCCTTGTATGGTAAACCTTTTTTGTATTCTGCATTTCATTTTTATCTAGCATTCTGTGTTGCAGGCTTATGTCTACAGTGACTATGAATATACATGTGAAAAGGCTTTTCTTCTGATCATTTATGGTTTTAGAGTTGTTTCAGTAGTTTTGTCTGTATTCCAAAAATAGACAAAATTTGTCCTCTGCATTCCAAAACAGATTTGACAATTTATTAGTCTGAGTCAGTCCCATTTTAGCCTCTGCTAAAGCATGGAAACACGATTACCAAAATGCTCTGGAAAAGATTACAATCTGGTTGTAGAAATTTTTATCTTGATTTCTATGATTTCAGCCTCAAAAACTATTTTTGTGCATTTTTTGTAAAGCTCAGTAACAATACATTTCATCTACATCCACACAAAAACATTTTACTTCTAAAATATATCACTTTTTCCACACTACTCTGTTCCAAAGCTTTTGGAAGCACCGTGAGTCCCGTTTCAGTTTGAAAACTCTGGGGTTGCATTTTGGTTTGTACGGACAAAAACTGAAACAGTGATGCAAAGGATGTTGCAAAATCATCTTTCCTCTCCTTTCATTATACTGTGACTTTCTTTTCTGGAAGAAAACAGAATCATCCTCTACTGGTGGACGCAACATACAGTAAATCACTAATTACAAGTTGCTGACCTTGCTGTTTTCACTAGCTGCTTTTGTGCAGTTAAATGCCTCACTTTGTAATCCTACAACTAAAATATTATTCCAACAATCTGATAATTCTCATGGACATGCACAGGCCCATGGTCATATGGTATGCATTGGCAGGCGTGAGTATGGATGGGGATTATTTCTGATACAGAGCTAAAAACTCTCGTGTGGAGAGAAATGTTCTTTTTTTACCTTTTTCTTTTAACCACAGTCTCATGGCTCCTCCACCTCACGTCACAGTGCACCCACTAGGCTGAGGCACTCAACAAGCTGAACCAATAAATAACCTCCTCATCCAGAACCTTGGCTCAATTTGTTTATCTCCTGGCTCATCTCTGAAGGGGAAGTCCATTTGATCGACACACACACACACACACACACACACACAC